TGGGACAGGGTGGGAGTTGATTTCCATGATCACATTGTTGCTTGTTTCAGGAATCCGGAGCGGATCGAGAAATGCAATGAAACCCTCCTAGTTCTGCTGCCCAAGGTGGATTATCCGAAGCAAGTAGCACAGTTCAGGCCCATCGGACTCTGCAATGTGAGCTACAAGGTTGTGGCCAAGTGCTTGGCGAACAGGCTCAAAAATTTCATGCCTCAGCTGATCGACCCGAGCCAGTCAAGCTTTGTCCCTAGAAGACATATCACAGACAACATCATCATTCTTCAGGAAGTGGTTCACACCATGTCGCTCAGGACGGGAGCCAGGGGGCAAATGATTTTGAAAATCGACTTGGCTAAAGCGTATGACAGGATAAATTGGAAGTTCTTGGAGTCCACCCTGCAGGCGGCTGGTCTACCCGAGGATTTTGTTAGACTGGTCATGGCATGCGTGACAACTGTCCGTTTCCAGGTTCTCTAGAACGGTGGGTGTACCGAACCTTTCCAACCGACGAGGGGTCTTCGGCAGGGATGTCCTCTCTCCCCTTACCTATTTACCTTATGTATTGAAAGACTGAACCACTGCATTAAGGACTCTGTTGAGAGGAAAGCCTGGAGACCGATTACGCTGTCAAAGGGTGGCCCTGCACTGACTCATTTATTTTTTGCAGATGATTTGGTCTTATTCGCGGAGGCTGACCCGAAGCAAGGAGAAGAGGTCCTAAGCTGCCTGAACCGGTTTTGTGAGGCCTCGGGGAGCAAGTTAGCAAGGAAAAATCTTGTGTTTTCTTCTAAAAAAACACCAAGGAGAACCTGAAGAAAAGGATCAGCGACATGTTAGGGATCAAGCAAACCAGCAACCTGGGGCGCTATCTGGGTGTTCCGGTAATCCACGGCAGAGTCACCAAGGATACCTATAAATTCATCCTGGAGAAGATCGATCACAGGCTCTAAGGTTGGAAGGCGAGGAGTCTTTCCTTGGCAGGGAGAGTGACCTTGGCTACCTCGGTTCTCAATTCCCTTCCGAATTATGTCATGCAAACGGCAGTTCTCCCGGTCTCGGTTTGTGACATCATTGACAGGAAAATCAGAGCCTTTATCTGGGGAGCAGAAGACGGCGTCTCTAAAACTCACTTGGTCAAATGGGAAACCATCTGCAAACCAAAGGGGCTTGGTGGACTGGGCATGCGCTCTGCTAGAGCCTTGAACCTGGCTTACATTATGAAGCTCGGGTGGGCCTTCTTGAACAAGTCGGAGGAGCTTTGGATTCGGGTCCTGCAGAGCAAGTATTTCAAAGTCAATGAGGCGGGGACCTTGGTGATGAAGAAGAGCAACTTCTCACGGCTATGGAAAGGCATTGTGGATACTTGGCCTATTCTCAAGCAGCGAGTGGTGTGGGACATCCGGGAAGGTCATAACGTGCAGTTTTGGACGGATCCTTGGCTTGCTGAGGGCACTATCTTGAGTGAGCATATCACAAGCGCTGGGGAAGGAATTAACTGGCAGGCTACCGTTGCGGAGATGGTCACGGATTCAGGTGAGTGGAAGTGGCAGGATGTTGATCCGCATGTGTCTGAGAATCTGTTGGCCTTGATTGCAGGTACAGACCCTCCCGTGCCGGGATCGGGTGAAGACATCACCGCTTGGGGAATGGAGCCAGACGGAAAGTTTAAGCTTCATTCAGCCTATGCTGCGGCTGTGGAGTGGCTAAGCGACGAGATGGGTGAGGAGGAGCAGGCGAACAACCATCAGCACTGGAAGCGCCTCTGGAAGTGGGCGGGCCCGAACCGCATTAAGCATTTTCTGTGGTTGGTTTTCCATGACAGGCTGATGACGAATGCGCAGCGCAAGAGGCGGAAACTGACGACGGACGATACTTGCCCGATGTGCAAAGCGGGACCGGAAATGGCTGAACACATTCTGCGCCAGTGTCCGAGCTCTTCACAGGTATGGAACAAGTTGGGTATACAAGAGACCTCTCTTACCTATGGTCTCGGTTTTGAAGCTTGGCTAGATGTGCACCTCAAGAGGGAGAAGGAAGGCCTTCTGTTTGGTGTGGCGGCCTGGTATCTCTGGAAAAGAAGAAATGAGAAGGTCTTCCACAACCTGACATAAGAGGATCACGTGTTGGCGCAACGTATTGGCTGCTGGACGTCTACTACCAGACAAGCTCAGGAGAATGACGCAGCATCTCAGCTAGATAAGCCCTTGAGGTCGGAACAGCAGCTAGCGTGGATACCACCACCACAAGATTGGATGTGCGTTAACACCGACGGCTCAGTGAAACAACCAGGATCAGAAGCTGCTGGAGGGGGCATCATCCGTGACTGGACGGGGAAGTGCATGGGAGCCTTTGTAGAGAACTTGGGAGTGTGCACGATTACCCGAGCAAAGATCATGGCGGCCATCTAGGGCCTACAGATGGCGTGGAAGTACGGATACAGGAAAGTCTTACTGCAGTTGGACTCCACTACGGCCATCAATATCCTTACCTCGCAGGATCAGACGGAGCACAGGTATCATAATCTGGTTCTGCAGTTTCAGAGACTGCTCCAGCTGAACTGGGAAGTCAGAATTTCCCATATCTATAGAGAAGGAAATAAAGTGGCGGATTTCCTTGCTAATAAAGGCCACTATGCTAGTATAGGTTTCCATGTTTTTGAGAGCTCAGACCCGGGTCTGAACTTCTGGATTTTGTATGACGTTTTGGGTATATCCCAATCCCGGTTAATTTAAGTTCTGGCAGGGGCGCCCTTTAGCGTCCCATTTTCTACCAAAAAAAAAAAAAGGAGTAAGCACTCTAGCTCGTGCCAAGCTGAAAGACAAGAAGTCACTTGAACCCAATTATGTTATACACCTAGAAATGTTGTTTCGTGCCCAACAAACAAGACAATCTCCGGAAAAAAATCCAAAACTACCACTGTTTTTAAAAAAAATTACAAAACTACCACCCAAACCAAAAAATTCCCAAATCTGCTGCTCTTAATTAAAAACCGCAGCACGCAGGGGCGATTACAGTGAAAACTGCACTGCAAGGAGGCGGTTTACCATCAAGTCGCATGCCAGTGGAGCGGTTAAAGGTTTTTAGAAAAACCGCTCTTCGAATGAGCGGTTCCCATGACTGGCCTAGGACAAACCGCATGATCTAGGTGCGGTTCTGCGTCGGCAACATAAACCGCCCCTCAGGCAAGCGGTTTATTAGGACCCCCCATCCAGTGGTTTGTGCCTCAGCCCCATTCCCCCGACATCCGACATGTCGGCATACAGGAGGTTGCAGGGGTGGGGGCTTCAGTGTAAAATTTGCCTATAAATGGCAGCTCCGAAAAACTAAAAATCTTCACTCCTCTCCTTCTTCTTAATCTCCTTCTTCTTCAAATTTCAGTTGTGCACCTTTAATTTATTTAGTTTTTACGATTAACGTTAATTCGTAAGTTTGTTTTGTATTACTTTTCATTGTCATTTGTGATTTTTATGGTAGTAACTTAATTACGATTTTATTGCAGATGACATTCCAAAAGTTCACACTTGGGTTATGGTGGAATGTTTACACGGAAGAGACCGGAAAGGGGGTACGTTACGTCGTTGGCAATTTTTATAAAATGAAGGTTGCTACGAGACCAATGCTTGAAGAGCTCCATCAAATGTGTATTGAGGTTACCTGCATGGATGTCACTATAAGAGTTGATCGTATGGTGTATCGATATCCAAACAGACATGCGGGTCGTTGTGGAATGAGGAATTCCTCATTACCACTCAGGAGGACGTTGATGCCATGGTCCAATTTTTGACCACCAATAACATTAAACAAGCGGAGATGTTTGTTTACACCAAGGCGGTCGAAGGTGGTGTAGGTCATTCTGGAGATGGCCAAACATCTGGTATCCACGGTGGGGGTGGATTATACGAAGATCATTCCCACCAGGAGTACCAAGACCCGAGTTGGTGCCAGGAGTATCATGATGGAACTGGAGGTCATCATCAATCCTTTTCAGCATATGAAGAGGAAGCTCAACAGGCGGATGAGAACCAACAAGAAGGCTACTAGTACCAACTCGAGTACAACTTCTACCAAGGCGACGGTAGTTACCACAACTACCATTACAGAGCTGATGAAGGTGTATCTTGATCAGATGAAAGATGTCAATCCAAGTTTAGTTAGTGACCCTGAGGTTGAAAAAGAGGAAGACGATGTAAGTGTAGACAGCTTCAATGCTCTTGGATGTGCTGATGATTCCGATCCAGATACAGACGCAGACGGTGATGAGGTGCCTCGCGACCGTGTACCTATCTCGTACTACAATCACATTCCAAATGAAGATTGGTATGTTGATGCCGACATGGAGCCGCAGAGGTGTCACTATGGGGTCCACTCACTGGCTTTACGAAGGGCCAACAATTTGCAACGAAGAATGAGGTGCGACACGCTATTGCCACTGAAGCAATGACTCGGAGTTTTGTGCTTACGCCTGATCTCCGCTGTCAACCAAGTGATGGATACTTGGCCCTTGGACAATGGTGGATTACCATCTGCATCGTGATCTAGGGGTGGGCAAAAGGTTCGATAAACCCGAACCGAAACCGAATTAAACCGAACCGAAACCGAATTAATGCTATTCAGTTCGGAATTTGAAAGAAAAATATGGATAATTCGGAAATTAGGTTCTTTCAACCGAATCGAATTTCCTACCGAAAAACCGAAATACTATAATTGCAAGCTCCAAATGGTGGATTTTTAAGTTTGTAGTTGTTTTTAGACTTAAATATTTGAAATGTTTCATGACTTTTGTGTTGAAAAGTTTGATTTTATCATTGATGATGCATATAATTGATATTTATTTAGGGGTGAAAAATAATTTAAAAGTGAGAAAATACAAGTAGCTTCACAAATTCGGTTTTGTGTAAAAAACCAAACCGAATTATAATTCGGTTTAAACCGACCAAACCGAATTATATAATTCGTTTAGAATTCAGTTTGAGGTTTGGGAGAATTCGGGGACCCGGTATTCATAATTTCAGTTCGGTTGAAACCGAACCGACTGAATGCCCACCTCTATCGTGATCTCCCTTTTCTGGCGGTACCAACCCTGTGACGCTCCATATGAAATGCTCCCAACCACTCATATTCGCAACAACTTTAGCTGGTGGAGTAGAGTCCACACAAATAACATAGCCATCGATGGGCAAATCGGTTAGGATGGCAATATCCTTAAGTGTGATGGTGCACTCGCCTTCATGAAAATTGAAGCAATGTGTCTCCTTTCGCCATCTCTCTACCAATGTCGTGATGAGTTGGCGGTCGATCTTTATTCCATTAAAGTGCCTAATGGGATCCAATCTTGCCCTTCTTAGAAATGGCAAGATGACGTCGTTCCATTCAAGCACATTCGTCGTACCCCTATAGCGGACTATATGGTATGCATCCTAGGAAAGAATTTAACTTTAACTATAAGTTTATGATTTATACATATATAAATCTATTATAACAAACAATATCAATTAATGAAATCAAGGTTTTTTTTTCCAAGAAATATACATAATTTAAAAAACATTAATATTGAGCTAACTAAAATAATTAACTAAAATGAATACCATTTTAGAAATTTAAGTAAAATTATTTTTGTACACATACACATAAAATCAAATATATTTTTTTGTACTTCGTATTGATTGTTTTCAATAATTTAAAGCAATACAACTACACTCGTAAGACTCTTAGGAGAGGTATACATCTCCTTAGAAACACAACCTGTTTGACAGAAAAAGGGGGGATCCGAGAATCGCTTAGAACCCAATTTTCCCACAAAATGGGAGAATCATGATGATCGCTTAAGACCCCATTTTCTTAGACATGCATTTCCTTATAAATAGTCTAAATAAGTGTTGTATTGTATTGATTTAAATTATTGAAAATAATCAATACGATTAACAATTAACAAATTTATTTTACAAACCAGTAAATTACGTTAACAAAATAAAAATTACAAGTGATGATAAATAATATATACCTTGTGGTCGTTCCAAACATCCCTTGAATGATGATTTTCTTGGTCGTATAACTCAGTCGGATCAATCGGTCCTTGATCAACATAATATCGTTGATTGTATATATCAACATCCTCTCCAACCTACGATAGCATAACAACAACATAACCCTCTTCTTCGAAAAAATCGGCCATTTTTCAGGAACTGGACAGAGATTCGACGGTCTTTTAATGAAAACAAAGAAAAGTTTTTTGAGGCCAGATCGGACTTAGCCGCAACCAACAAACCACTATTTCCAAGGTTTTTGGGTGTATAGGGGATGGGTAGAGTGATAAACTTAGAGAGAGAGAGAGAGAGAGAGAGGAGATTGGTTTTGGTGTGAAGAAAATAAGAGGAAGGGAGTGGTATTTATAGGTGGAGGACCACCTGGTGGGGGGCGATTTGGTATTTTTACGCCACCAAAAATCGTGTCTCCAGTACACGGTTTTCTTTTCCCGACGCAAAAACCGCGGCTCCAGCACACGGTTTTCTTTACCCGAAGCACAAACCGCGCCCTCGGGGAACAGTTATCAGTGTTGGACGCGGATCGCTCCGCTGGCAGGCGGTTAACCGTCGGATCGCCTGTCCATCGAATGGTTGCATGGACCGTCCCGTGGAGGAGCAGTTTTGCAGCTGCCCAAGGGATAACCGCCTGTGTCCCCGCGCTGTTTGAAGGAGAACAAAGGCGCGACTTTAGATTAATGGTGGTAGTTTTGGAATTTTGTTGGATTGGGTGGTACTTTTGTAAATTTTTTTTATAGTTTGGGGAAAAAATCCACAATCTCCGGTTCTAGTGAAAAATATGTTGATATGTATTAGAGTGTGTTTGGATATAAGAATTTGGATTTGGTATTTGAGATTTGAATTGTAGAATATTAAATTATTTGTTTGGATATTAACTACATATGGTATTTGGATTTGTACCAAATTATAGGATGATTTCCAAATTATGTCTATTTTATTACTTGTTTATTTCAAATACATATATTTTTTCGTTGAATATTTCAAATACATATCAACAACTAGTGATTCAAAATTTCTCAAAGCAAAAAATTGAACTAGTTTGTGAGATCTTAAAAGTTCATGTACTATAGTGCAAGACAAAAAATATAAAGCTACTAAAACGTAATCTTACTACCAAAAGTTATGAACTTTTTGTCAAAAAATTTAAAGTTCAAGTACTACATTGTATTTAAAATAAATTTGAATACCAAAGAATAATTTTTCAAAAATTATAATCTATCACCTTAAAATTCAAAATTAAAATTTATACGATATAAAATATCAACAAAATACAAATGAACACGAAAAATAACAAATTTGAATTACATATATTTTGAATACAAGTATTTCAAATGCAATTTGTAATACACGGAGTTCGTGGGTGTGAATCCATGACGTCCTTTTTCTGCTTTTGCTGAAATCCTAGAAATTAGAAACGGAATGCATTAGGGTGGTAACTGGATTTTAAGTAGCCATCGTGGCTACATTAATATCCACCATTTATTTTCCTCTTTTTTTAATCTCACATGTTAAGATGACTTTAGAGTAATTTTGGGGGAAAAAAAGACCACACCTGATTATTCTATATATTCTACCTTAAGTTAAACCCGCAGTAGCCGGCCATTCCTTCCCCTCCCTCGCTCTCCGACAGGCCGACCATCCCTCCCCCATTCTCTCTCTCTGACTCTCCACCCCTCACCCCACCGCCGACCCTCCCATGTCCCCCGTTCCTCCCACTCTCCATTCCCCATTGCAATGGTATTGGTTTTTTTTTAAATGATATATATAGATTTATATTGGTAGATCGTTTATATTGGTAGTTTTCGTGTAATTGTATATATTTATTTCTGCAATGGTATTGATGTTTTTCAAACTTATAGTTGTTGTCTAATTAATTAGTAGTGATTTCGTGTTTTTTTCTTTTTGCAGAAAGATTGAGAAAAATAAGAGAAGGGGATCTAGCTGCATATTATGGAAATGAGAGAAAAACGGAAAATTATAATTAATAAAATTTTGTAAATGCTTAAAATAAAATTTATTAAAAAAATTAATTAATACAATTTATTTTTCCATAACCAATTTACTCTTGGTTAGAAACCAGTAATCGAGTTCGCCCTTCTCTTCTCCTCTACCCGCAGCCCGCAGAGACCCCAAAACCCAGTTATTGAAGCGACATGCAGTTCTTCGCCTTCCTCCCAAACCCAGCTTGTTGGTCGAACTCGTTCTCATCAATCTCCAGCAGCCACATTCCTCGTGAATCTTTTGTTCCCATCAATCGCCAGAGCCCGACTTCGCTGCAACTTCTCCTCAATGCCGTCCCAACTTCCCTCCTTAATCCAAAACCCTGATCAGTGTTTTGTTTCTCCCAGTCTGCCGCCAACAAATCCTTCGTCGCCGCTCGACCCGTCCGCCGCCAATGATTCCTTTCTCCGCCGCTGAATCCGTCTCTGCCAAAGAATCCTGCTCCGGCATCTTAGCTCTGGTTAGTTCCCTCCCATGATCTGCCGCCGCCAAGTTTTTTTTGGTTTCTCAGTTTGCAGCATATATAAAAGGCTTCCTCAGTTCCTTATGCTCTTTTAGTTGTTTGAATTAGCATGAAGAACAGAATGGGTTTGGTGTTTTGAAGTTTGAACTGCTTTGAGTTGTTTGCTTTTGACCATATATGTTTGGTGGTTTGATTACAGTAATGGGTGGTTTGGCAACCATGTATTGTAGATTACATGAATTTTAGTATATCATGTGTTTTTTAGATGAGGTTGTGAGAATTCATGTAATAATAGATTATATTGTTTGGATTGTATGGATTCATGGTGGGACACCAATATCATGATATTTGGCCAAAATGAAACAATGAACTCATGTAATGTGAGAATTAGATGTTAGAATACATGGTTACCAAACGACCCTAAGTATTTAGTTGCCTCTGTAAGTAGAGAGGATTAAATTTGATCATACATTTAGTTGCCTCTGCATGTGGCTGAATTAGCGTGAACAAAATGAGTTTTTAGTATTAATTTGTTCTAATGATGAAATGGGGCAAAAGGTCAGGGGACATGAGGAACGCCCAAAAGATTTGGTTTTTACGAGCTTTTCCTTATATTTTCTGGTTCTTCCCTCTCTAGAACCCTTTGGGCTCTTACGTCCATGTTCACCTGGTTTATCATGGTGATGATATGCCACTTACCCTTCGGTGTTCCGTTCTTGATCACCATGAAATTCTAATGACTTGGTAGACTGATTTTCAATGTCAGGTTTAGTAATCAACTAGACAGGTTTCATTTTCAGGTTCTAGTTTCAGATTTACTAAAAATCACAGCTAAACAGGTCTTTATATTCAGGTTTAGCCTACTGCCGGAGTATTATGAAATTTCTTTTCCCTCCAAAATTCCGCAATCCAACGGCCCCCCCCGGGAAATCCAATCAACACTCTTTCCGAAATTTATCCTTCCTCCATATCAATACCACCAAACTTGAAAAGCTCCTGAATCTTGTCTGCTGGACAAAAACCCTCCAACATGCGACAGAATTGCATGCCAAGCTCATCACCACCACCTCCATTTCCTCCTCTGCTCTCTTCAACTCCCTCCTGTGCTGCTACTCCGATTGTGGCAGAATCGACCGGACCCTTCTCTTGTTCTCTTCGAATTCCGGTAGTGCGTCAAGGAATGTGGTCTCCTGGACTTCAGTTATCGCTCAGCTTTCTCGTTTGAAGAAGCCCTTGATGACGTTGGAAGTCTTTAGTGAGATGAGGAGGAATGGCATTTGGCCGAATGAGTACACGGTCTCGGCTGTGCTGCCAGCTTGTGCAGAAAGCAAGGTTGTCCGACATGGTGAGCAGGTGCATTGCTTGGTTTGGAAATGTGGGTTCGGGTCGGATTTGTTTGTTGGAAGCGGGTTGGTTGATGTGTATGCCAAGTGTGGGGAGATGGGTTCCGCGAACAAGGTGTTCGACGAAATGTCGCACAAAAACCTGGTTACCTGGAATTCGATGATTGTTGGTTGTTTGAGGAATAAAAGGTTCGATTTTTGTATTGTGTTGTTTAAGGAAGTCATGAGGGATGAGTCTATGAGTCCTGATCAAGTGACTGTTTCGAGCGTGTTGAGTGCTTGTGCTCATGTAGGGTCTGCAGAATTTGGAAGGTTAGTCCATGGAATTATTATCAAGTTTGGTCTCATAAGTTTGGATTATGTGAGAAACTCGCTTATGGATATGTACTGCAAGTGTGGTTTGCTTGATTATGCTGCTAGTACATTTGAAATTTCCTCAGACAAAGATGTTGTTGGCTGGAATGTAATGATAAGAGGGTGCTCATTCAGCTATCACTTTGAAGAAGCTTACAGCTATTTTAATGCTATGAAGAGGGAAGGAGCATCTCCTGATGAGTCATCGTACTCTTCTGTCCTCTACGCATGTGCTAGTTTGGCAACACTTAATCCAGGACTTCTTATCCATGGTCATATCATAAAATCTGGGTTTTCAAAATACCCTTTTGTAGCTAGTTCATTGATCACAATGCACTCAAAATGTGGAAGCTTTATCAATGCATCACGCACATTCAGGGAGATTGAGACTCAAAATGTTGTTTGTTGGACTGCCATGATCGCTGCTTGCCAGCAACATGGTCACGCAGAAAAAGTCATCGAACTATTTGATGAAATGGTGGGTGATGGGATTAAGCCAGATGACATTACTTTCATTTGTGTTATATCAGCTTGTAGCCATACTGGTCGAGTGGAAGAAGGATACAAATACTACAACTCAATGATACATGAGCATGGTTTGAGCCCTAGGCTTGAACACTATGCTTCCATGGTGGACTTGCTTGGGCGAGCAGGCCGACTCAAGGAAGCTCGAAAGTTCATATTGGAAATGCCAATCGAACCAGATTCAGCAGTCTGGGGAGCATTGCTAGGAGCGTGCTCGAATCATGGAAATATCGAAATGGGTAAAGAAGCAGCAGCCAGGCTTTCGGATATGGAACCAAATGACCCAGGAAACTATGTCCTGCTTTCTAACATGTATGCTAGGAATGGTAAGTTAAAGGAGGCAGATCAAGTTAGAAGATTGATGGGTACCAAAGGGGTCAAAAAGGATCCTGGGTGTAGTTGGGTCGATGTTAGAAACTCAACCTACGTGTTTACAGCTCATGATAGGTCACATCCTCGGACCGACGAAATCTACGAGATGTTGCAGAAAATTGAGGAGTTGGTGAAGAAGAAAGGGTATGTAGCTGAAACTCGACATGCAATGAATGATTCAGATGCTTATAAGGAGCAGAGCTTGTGGGTTCATAGTGAGAGATTAGCCCTTGCATTCTCTCTTCTTGTTCTTCCTTGTGGTGCTCCGATTCAGATAAAGAAGAACCTGAGAACTTGTGGGGATTGTCATACGGTTATGAAGCTCGCTTCCGAGATATTTGATAGAGAGATCATTGTTAGGGATGTGAACCGGTTTCACAAGTTTGCTAATGGTTTGTGTTCCTGCAAAGATTATTGGTGAATATTTTCACCTGTTTTCTTAGCAGAGTTATATCTCCCTTGTTGCCTTGGTGATTTTTAAGGATGATTGTTGGGTTTGATGAAATTCGGGTTAGATAAGATCATGAAGGAGAGGAATTCTGTGCACATTCCAGTCTCTCTTGCAGGTATAAAGTTCCGAGGTCAATTTTGTGCCAGAATTCTGTCTTTCTGTCGATTGATTGAGCTTCTGGGCTCTCTTTTTCATGAGTCCTTCAATACCAGCAATGGGTTCTCGTTCATTTTTTTTTTAATGTGAGGATTGGATCCTTCGTCTCTTTTTCAATTCCACCATGCATTGCGCTGCAGTTTTCATTTCTGTTTTGGGATATTTCATGCTTTTCTCTGTGGAATTTTGCTGATTCTGGTCCAGTTTTTCTGGATTTGTGTGGATTGGATTGTCAATGAATTCCTAGGATTTTGTTCTGTTTTATGAAATTCCGTTTGTGTGGATGAGAATTGAATTGCGGGGATTCTTTTTTCTCTCTTTGAGGATATTGATATTGCTCTGTTTATGACTGTTTGGTTTTGGGTGCTTTACTGTAATGCTTGTTGGAAATGGAGAATCACTTGGCTTCTAACCTCTTTTGCTGCTGATTTTAATCATTCTTTTGTTTCAGTTACTATGGGGAGCTCTATTGGCAATCTGAGAAGCTGAAAATCTATATTACTGGAGCTGGTGGTTTCATTGCCTCTCACATAGCGAGGAGTTTCAAGAGTGAAGGACTACATTATTGCCACCGACTGGAAGAAGAATGAGCACATGACAGAAGGCGTGTTCTGTCATGAATTCCATCTTGTGGATCTTAGGGTTATGAATAATTGCTTGAAGATTACCAGAGGTGTTGACCATGTCTTCAACTTGGGTGCTGATATGGCGGGATGGGATTCATTCAGTCCAACCATTCTGTTATCGTGTACAACAATACCATGATCAGCTTCAACATGCTTGAAGCCTCTAGGATCAATTGGTATCAAAAGTTTGGTTACTTGTTCCCTTAGTTTCGTTTGTTCCCTTATAATAGGTTGGAATTCCTTAGGTGGGGTTTTGAATTCATAATTGATTTTGGATGATGATTTAGGTTTGTATAGAATCTTTTATGCCTCTAGTGCATTTATTTATCCCGAGTTTAAACATCTGGAGGCAAATGTGAGCTTGAAGGAATCTGATGCCTGGCCTGCAGAGGTTGGTTTACTTTTACACCAAGGACTTTGGCATTGAATGCTGTGTTGGAAGGTTTCACAATATTCATGGTCCTTTTGCAACAGTGAAGGTGAGGCTTGGAAACAACAACAGTTGTAAGTTGTAACTTAATTATCTGCGTCTAGCTTCACTAATGTGTCGATTGATTGTATTTAATAATTAAGTGGCAGGGAAAACGCACCAGCTGCCTGCTGCCGAAGGGCGCTTACGCTAGTGATAAGTTCAAGATGTGGGGAGATGCACTCCAAACTCGATCCTCACCTTCATTGATGAATGTGTGGAAGGTGTGCTCAGGTAAATACCTCAGATCTCCTTTAAGGTTGTCATAACTTTTTGGTGGGTGCATTTGAAAAGGTGAAATTTGCAACAACATGCCAATGAACAAATGCCTGGTTTTCTTTTTGGTTGACGCTTTTGAATACAATTTGGAATTGCACATGCACAAATGCATCGGGATGATGCACTCTCATATACTTCGTGATGGATAAAAGCCACTGTGTTACCAATCACCCATAGCAAGGACTTGTGCTTCTCTTTGTACTTCTACAGGAAATTAGATTGAAAGACCTTACCACACTCAATGCAAGAAAATAGGGCTAACACACCTATGCTTCGCGGATGATTTGATGATATTCACCGAGGGTCTGCTCATGCTTTGAGTTGTGTGAAGCAAATACTACATCAGTTCTCTGTCTTATCTGGCTTGCATTGTAATCCAAACAAATGTGAAGTATTCTTTGGAGGTTCGTCAATTGATTTTAAGGATAATGTTGTCAGGGTAACTAGTTTCAAGGAGGGAAAACTCCCTGTTCAATACTTGGGGCTTCCTTTGATTTCAGGTAGATTGTCAAGTAGGGAATGTGACTGGTGGACAAAATTACAGGTAAAATTGAACGGCAAGCTAACAAACTATCCTACGTTGGAAAACTGCAGCTTATCTCATCAGTGTTGCTGTCAGTGGTACAATATTGGATGTCTATCTTTGTATTACCAAAAGAAGTTATCACAAGAATTGAGAAAGTGTGCTCGGATTTCCTTGATTTGGTGATGGTTCTTGTAAGGCCAAAGTAGCATGGGAGATTGTGGCTACCCAATAAATTAGGGTGGTCTAAATATAAAAGACTATACTTGGAACATAGGTTTTGTATCTAGACCTATTTGGCTACTACTGATAAGAAGTAATAGTTTTTGGGTGGCCTGGATCTATCAATATAGGCTGAAGGGGAAGTCTATTTGGCTGATTAAGGAGACTGCAGCAGGATCTTGGTTGTGGATAAGAGTACTGAAATTGAAAGTTGGTTTCTATTTGTCGCCTTTTTTATACTAATCATCGCCCTAACTTATAGGATAAAGACAAAATTGCCATCAACCATTATCTGCCATCTCAACCAGACTAGAACTAGCCTTCCCTTTCTCTGCACGAGTGGGTGCCTCCTTCCGCCATTCCCCATTGACTGAAAAACTTTCTAATGTCGAAGTTCGTCGACCGCTCATCTTCACCAGCCTTTCTTTTTCGCCTTCGAATTTCATCGATAACCCACCTTCCTTTTTTTTTGACGATGTCGTGAACACCCACCTTCGTTGCCAGTGGCGAATCTAGGGAGTGACCAATCTAGGTCACGGTTAATCCTTCTTTGGGTTCGGAGCTAGTATAGCCTATATTGAATTTTTTGTTTTTAGATATCTGACTCAGTGCTATTTTATAATAGGATTGTGTTAACTAGAAAAATAGTTCATATGAACATGTTCAAATCACTACTCTAAATTTAGCCTAGAAATTCTAGCATTAATATAATGATTTTCTTCTAAAAACATAAACAATGAAACTTAAAATTCTAAAAGTCTAAAAAAGAAAGACTAAAAGAAATATAAGGTTTGTTCTTTTGAAAAATTACTAGAGCAACCTGTGGAAATAGGGATGAACACACAATATAACTTGATAAGTCGATTGATTTGTCTAGTGTTGACATTCTCATTTCAACGGCTACTATTGAGATAACCTTTTCAACAATGAAACATGTGAAAACTGATTTGCCCAACAAAATGAGTATTGAATTTCTCGCTGATTGCTTAACTATTTTATTTGAAAGAGAGTATGCTATTTGTATGGATGACTCCATTATTGATGAATTCAGTAAATTAAAATATCGTCGTGTACAATTGACATTGTGAAAAAAACTATAGTTACTATTTATTTTTTAACGATTTCTAATTTTCTAATGAAATGCGGCCTAGTGCTCTACTGTGTCTTGGGTATTGTATTTGTGCAATGAGAATATCTTACAATTGGTTGGGTTATAAGAAGTAGGGGTGGCAGAACGGTTTTCGGTTAGCAGTTAACCGGTCAGTTTCAACCGAACCGATCAGTTTTCGGCTAACCGAAAACCGTTACTTTTATCGTCGGTCGATCGCCGGATGAGAGGGGAAGAGGTTCGACTAGCCGATTAACTGGGGTCGGAAATCGGCGGTTAACCGGCTAACTGACCTCTTCTCCTCTTCTCCAAAATGGCCCCGCACCATCCCTAAAACGACCCCCAAAAATCACTTCATTCCATACATCAACCGAATCAACACACAAAAAAAAACTCAATCTCCCTAACAGAAACCACCATCCCCAAATAAGACGCAAACCCTAATTACCTCTCACTCCTCCTCCTCCTCCATGGCTCCATCACTCTCGTCCTACCTCAGCCTCGCCTCCCTCTACACCTTCTACCTCCGCCGCTGCTTCTCCGCCGCCGGCCTCTCTGAGAAAACCGCCCCCACCGACCCAACCACCACCGTCCAGTTTTGGTCCCCAACAAAACCCAACCCCCGAAACCCTTCCCTCCTCCTCCTCCACGGCTTCGGCACCGTCGCCATCTGGCAGTGGCGCCGCCAGGTCCAGCACTTCGCCCCTCGCTACAACGTCTACGTCCCGAACCTCGTCTTCTTCGGTGACTCCCACACGACATCGTCCGGACGGTCGGAGGTCTTCCAGGCGGAGGCCGTGGCGGCGCTGATGGACAAGCCACAACCGCCGCGTCCTCCTCCCCTCCACTGCTCGGCGCCAGACGAAAGAGAGAAGCTCGGAGGAAGGAAGGAAGGAGAGAGAAGAGATCTGGTGGAGGAAGAAAGGAGAAAGGAGGAGAGGAAGGATTGAAGGAAGGACCGAAGGAGAGAGAAGAGGTGAAATGGTGGAGGAAGGAAGGAGAGAGAGAGGTCTGGTGGAGAAGGAAGGAGATAAGGATTGAGATGAGTGGTGGATATTTTTTTTATTTTATTTAATTAATTTTTTGTTTTTTTTTGGTGGAAAAGGTAATTTTTCGGTTGGCCGGCTAACCGTGACCTCTCTCACGGTCGGTGGCCGGAAGCTATAAGGGGTGTCTCGGTTAACCAATAACCGGGTTTTTTGGTTTTCGGTTAAACCGAAACGACCGGCTGCCATCCCTACTAAGAAGATTATATTTGTGTCATGTGAATATTGTACTTGTGAAATAATAATATTGTATTTTGTTTATGCGAATATGGTATTTGTGTAATGAGAATATCTTATTTGATCAATATTGGTATAATATATACGACTTTGGAATGAGTTCTATGGTTTAAAATGAAACTTTGGAGGTTAAGGTTCCTCAAGGATTGAAGTTCCCTTAGTTTTAGAAAATGAAAAGGAAAGAAAGCAATACGGGGAAAGTAATCTTTTCTACGGGTTGTTGAAGAATGCGGGAGGATGAGGCGTTGCAAATGAAAGCTCCCCCTATAGTTGCTTTGACTCAGAACCTTGACCATGACAACATATGAGTTGTTTCACCCACGTGATATCTATTCCTACTATATGTCAGAGCATTTACTCAAACTGATAAGCAACACGGATCCTACAGATATCTTCTTTGAGGTGTTAGTAGTCCAGCTGGTTGATGATCGATCATGTAGGATGGCCATGTCTGGTCTCACCCAATGCGAAGTCAGATATCGAAAAACACATCTTGAAAATAGATAGCACAATCAATTGAAAATAGATAGCACAATGGAATCAAACATAAAAAGAAGATGAATCAAATCTCATATATAGACCAAAGGGTTAATAGATTTTATACCCTTACTAGTACAAATAACAAACATATCCTTCTACTACTACTAGCTTGTACCCGACCCATTGACCGGAAAATTCAATAAGCTCAAATTACATTTTGGTAACAAATTTTAGATTTTATTTATTCGGGTAAGAAGACTGATTAGCTCAAATTATATTTGTGCATCGAATATGATATTTTTATTATCAATGAAAACTTTATACGAAGCCATCAAAGGTAACTAATAATCTTATAGTCATGATAATAAACTCATTGTTACAATTATATATTTGAGTGGGGATTTTAGGTGTTAGACACTAATGCATACATAATAGTTAAGAAAATTCAAACATTATAAAACCCTAAATTTTACTCTACCAATACGATCTTTGACTTTTCAAGTGGAGTTGATAGCATAAATTGTCACTCTATTATTCATTTTTCTCAAATCTATCCCTCTACTATATTTCACATGCCCTTGTACTATATAGTATATACGTATTATCAAACTTGCCATTTGTTATAATTTTTGATAAAATTCTGTTAAATGGCGGTCAAATCACGGTTGGAAAGGTCGGAAATGACAATTTAAATTTACCCTCCTTTTTATTGCTTATCTTCTCCCTTTGCAATTCCCAAAAATTATATCCATTATCCTATCATCCATATCCCTTCCTCTTTCTCTTCCTTCAATCCAACAACAATTAAACGCAAAAACTTTTGTCTATGATGAAAATGCCGAAAGACCGACATTTGAATTTCAACCAAACTCTTTGAAAGTCCTCAATTATTGATCGATTTGAATCAATCATAAAAAATGGAACCCAAAATATTTTAGAATAATTGGATTTCAAAGTATCAAAGGTTGTCAACCCGCTTTAGCCGGTTGGCCCAGTCAAGTAAGTGAGTTGATGATTAATGGGCCCGATCATTTTAGTCCACTTTTGCCCGGATATATAAAAAAATCACTATATTGTTCATCCATTTATACATGACATAGAATCTCATCTACATATAGATAATATTACACCACTATAACAATACGTACACACTCATATAACATAAATATTCAATTTAGAATTGTGAAAGTAGGTTAGTTGAAGGGGAAAAAGAAAGGCGCAATTCGCAAACCAAAGAGAAAACATGACACAATGTGACCTCCAACTGGGGAGTCTTGTTGCAGAATTCAAGAACCAACCCGGGTGTGTGGCGCCCGTTTTACTCGTCTGGTGTGGATCAACGCGGGTTGACAACCGTATCAAAACCCTATTGAAATGAAAAGATGGGAAACCAAAATTTTAAAAGTTGGCACATCAATATTGGGAGATATATCTTTACTTCAAGAACCAACCCTATCCTAAACGTTTCCACTCCTTCTCCTACATGCCGAGAATTTTTTTTAAACTGATTAGGGCTAAAAAAGAAATAGACGTAAAAAGTTGAATGAAACCCCTAAAGTTGACTCGACTCATTGGTCAGGAGAGCTTGATATTTTACATATAGGTGTTCCCAACTTTCACACCAAACAACATTCATATAATTGTTTTCAAATCCAACTATATCTTTGCAAAAAGGAAGTCTATATCAAAGTTCCGTAAAGGATTACAAGGGAGTTGCTTCCTTGGTATATATGCACAATCAATTTTCAACCAAAAGAAAATGCTTGTCAAATTATGGAGCTTAAAGTGTCCATGAAATAGAGTATCACTAACCAATAAAAAGTTCAATCTAATAATCATAATTTTCAGTGTAATCTATAATCGATGTTGATTCTGGATTGTGGAGTAGTTGCTGGTTGTGTTGATGATTCTAATGCTGTTGTAAAAGGAGATTCTAATAGATCCTTTGGCTGCAATAATATGAATAGCATCACTGGCATATTTCTAAACAACCACCATAAACCATAATTGGCTGAAGCTTACTATCTATCGTACAACTTAGTATGGTCATCTAACTAATATTAACCACAACCTATTCATAGGAAAAATAACATTGAATGTAGACCATTCAATTCCTCTGCTTCTTCAATTGCTATGCCATCGCAACACTAATGAGTGATAGGTAACCTTTAAGAGGTGGATGCACAAAGCATTAAAGCCTGTTATCTGGGGTCTCGAAAACCTATAAAGAATAAAAGCCAGCCTATCATAGAAAGTTTTGGCAACCCATGAACATCAAAAGAGTCATTGAAACAATGCATATTATAGAGGCAAAGGGAGAATCACTTTAGAGCACAATGACTTGAAAATACCTCAAACTGGTGATCCAAACTCCACCGAGAAAAATTTACCTCTAATTTAAGCTCTATCAAGTTAAATAGTGATCCAATCTCTCAAACTCAACCAAGAAGAGTTTACTTCTTTGACAAAAACGCTAAAGTTGAAAATGAAACAGGAAACCAACAAAATGGTTCTTCTCCTTTCTTTGTTTGATGATCTTTGTGCCCCCCTCCATTTCCAATACATAGAGGAGTTATCTCGAACGCAATTAAGCTTGGAGATAGATTACGATCAACTCCAGCCTATAGTGAAATATAGATCAATTTAATATCCTAAAGATAAGTATGACAAAATTTTGTTGAGTAATTACTTTAAAAATGTAGGGATTGAGTTCATAATTTACTTGCAAGTTGCAACAATAGCTTGACACTCTCCAAGGATCGTCATGTAGTTTTCATTAGTAATGAATATATTCCTTTACATGCTCCAAAAACAGGAGGCTCAAGCTACAAAGGTACACAAAATAGCATCTAATTCTCTTTAATATTTTGTTCTTCTCTTCCTAGTGATATCTAAATATCAGCAGGGCAGGTTTTGTTGAGTAAAATATGCAGGGATTGGGTTCATAATTTACCTGAACAATAGTTTTATACTCCATGGACCAGCATATAATTGCTACTGCCTATGAATATAACCACCATAAGTGAATTTGCAACACTAACTCTTCACCATTTTCACTTGGACGGGAGAACATGGGGAGAAAACAAATTAGGGGCAAATAAAACTTGGGTAAATCTTACATTTAGCTCTCTACAAAGTTTTGCCCACGACATTGCAGTGCCAAATCTTGATTTCATATCAATTTTCAGGGGTTAAAGACACATTTGGTCACTGAGATTACAAAATTGGGACATGTTTAGTCACTAGAAAAAGTTAATATCAAATTTGGTCACTACAATTACTAAAATTGGACACATTTAGTCACTCGCCGTTAGTCTCCGTCCAACTCCGTTAATGAAGTCCGTTAAGTGCTGATGTGGCAAACAGAATTGCCTAATCAGCCGGATATAACCCAACAAAAATAAAACCCGACCCGCCACGTCATTAAAACCATCCCAACCCATGACCCAACCCCACCCAACCCTTCTTCCTCCTTCCTCCCACCTTCTTTCCCCAAAACCACCGCCGCCGCTCTCCTCCTTCCTCCCACCTCCTCCCGCAAACCTGTTCGACCTAACCCAGCAGACCAATCCTTCACCAACCAGGCCATTGACGTTCACAAAGAATCCCCGAGAAATGCAGAGAGAAATTTGAAGAAGAAACCAGATTCCTCAATTCCATCCACTGCACCCATAATCATAGTTACTTCCCTAATCATGATGAAAATGGCTGCATCAATTAGCAGCAGAACAAGTATGTCCATGATAATGCTGAAGTCGAACCCGAATCAAAACCTGGCACCGCACCAGCAACAGGAAATCAAGAAAAAAATGAGCATCAAGATCGACCCACTGTGGAAAGCAACGAGGATGACATAGAAGAAGAAGGGGATTATGCAGCTCCATCGGCGGCCTCAAACGGAAACCAGAAGAGGAAAAGGAGACAAGAGGCGGAAGAAGAAGAGGAGGAGAAATTCGAGATGTTCAAAGGTTTGTGCCAGGAGATGGTGGACAAGATGATGGCTCAGCAGGAAGAGATGCAGAACACGCTGATAGAGGACATGGTGAGAAGGGACCAAGAGAAGCTCGCCCGCGAAGAGGCATGGAAGCAGCGCGAGATGGATCGAATCAACCACGAGCTCCAGCTCCGGGCCGACCAGCAAGCCCTGGCCGGCGATCGCCAAGCCTCCATCATCAAGTTCCTTGAGAATTTCACCACCACCACCACCGCCCTCACTAACGCTGTGACTAATTCTGCTCCGCCGCCGCCGCTGGAGATGATTGACTACCAGATCCAAATTGCTGCCGCCGGCGACAAGGACGGCAATAGTAATCGGAATTCCACCTCGTCGTCCTCCTCGGCTGCAAACCCTAACAACAATTCGTCCGCCGACGAACTTTCCCAATTAGAGCCCGGCGCAGTGACGGGCGCCGGTAGCAAAAGCATTCCCCCAAATTCATCTTGAAACCCTAGAAAATCCGGCGAATCGGAGGAGAATCGAGGGAGAAGCTCGGTGAAGGAGGAGGTAGGGAAGAGGTGGCCGAGAGAAGAGGTTCTGGCGCTGATAAATCTCAGATGCGGAATCCACGACGTTCGCAAAGTTGAGGATGCAAATCCTGGAATATATGTCGATGGTGGAATTGTGAACATTTGAGGGTTTCTTTGTGAACGTCAATGGCCTCGTTGGTGAAGGATTGGTCTGCTGGGTTAGGTCGAACAGGTTTGCGGGAGGAGGTGGGAGGAAGGAGGAGAGCGGCGGCGGTGGTTTTGGGGAAAGAAGGAGGTGGGAGGAAGGAGGAAGAAGGGTTGGGTGGGGTTGGGTCATGGGTTGGGTTGGTTTTAATGACGTGGCGGGTCGGGTTTTATTTTTGTTGGGTTATATCCGGCTGATTAGGAAATTCTGTTTGCCACATCAGCACTTAACGGACTTCATTAACGGAGTTGGACGGAGACTAACGGCGAGTGACTAAATGTGTCCAGTTTTAGTAATTGTAGTGACCAAATTTGATATTAACTTTTTCTAGTGACTAAACATGTCCCAATTTTGTAATCTCAGTGACCAAATATGTCTTTAACCCCAATTTTCAGCAACTCTAGATAATGGAAGAATAACCAATCTCTTATAGCCTTGAGGCTGAACCTCATAAATCAATCATCTACAAAGAATCAATAACCTAGAGATTATTCGACTTCCAAAATCAATTTTATTTTGGGTTTAATGATATATAAAACAACACTCTAAAATCAATCATCTATAAAGAATCAATAAGATCACAAACATAGAAGAGAAAGAAGCATGCACATTGTTTAAATTTCATCCAAGAAGAAGATCTGGGATCTCTTCGGGAAGAGGAGGTGTTCCCTTTTGAACCAAACCCACTATCATAAGGAAAGAGAGCATTAATATCCAACTCATTCCCAACTTGAAGAGAAGTTGGCTATAACATTAAGCAATCAGATCGAAAAGATTAAATTAAGTCATACAACTAAACATAGATAATAATAATCCTCTCTTGTAGATGTGTCAAAAGCTAAACATTGATATCAGACAATGAATTCATACACAAACAATGATAATAAAAAGTCAGATACATTTATAATGAAGAATTGCAGAGAAAATTGCTTTGTGAGATTATATCATACTGAACATGGTCAATGAGTAGGCAAGTCATGCTATAGTGATATCAAACACCAAAATTTGGTTCATATTTAAATGGGATTGTTCACACTCATACACAAACAATGGAACCACCCAGCTTCAACAGATAAACAACAAAGAGAGAAGTCTTCATACTAATATTGCAATTAATTAAACATCAAGTAAGTGGCCCTCCTATTCTACATGACATACATGGAACCAATTCAACACCAGAGCATATGAAACCACATGTTCACAGATCTAAAAATAAGCATCGCACAAGCAGGGAACAAAGAACTCAAACACTAATTGAAAGCACATTAGCGGCTGACATGAACTGAACCTTGCTGCTAAGAAAGGAGGAAATACCTACAAAATGAGAAACTGCTCAGGATCTATAACAAATCAAATAAAACCAACAAAACTTAGGCTAAACCATAAAACCAACAAAAATACCCGAAAAGAGAAACAAAAGTACTTACCAGAGGAGGTAAACCTTCCCTATCGGCGACTGTCCTTTTTGCCTGCAAAACCTCAACCTGCATGCGGCAATCGCAGGGGAGTTGATCGTCGAACGACTCTTTTCCCCTTCTCCACTACTCGACCAAGAAACAGAGGGGAAGAGGGTCAGAAACCACAACAAACCAAAACACAAACATGGAACAAAAAGATTTACCTTTGACCTTCACCGCCGAGGCCATCATGATTTTCGTCGTCAGCGTCACTTTCTTTCGGAGGGAATTGATTGCACCTTTTATTCCATGCTTTCATTCGTTCAAGGAAAGGATAGAGCGCGGAGGATGATTGGGAGAGGCGAGAGGGAGCTCGGATTTGGTATCGGCTCCCTTTTCCGAAAGAGATGAGAGCGAGAGAAGGAGATGAGAGACAGAGTGGGATGAGAAAAAAGAGATCTAAATGTAGGGTAACACCCGCCCACCAGATCGCGATCTTCTTCTCCGAACTGATTACAAATCACGTTCTTCTTCTCCAATGTTGGGAGAGGGAAAGGGAGCTGAAGAGAGAGATTTGTTTCAATCGAATACGAAATTGAAGAGAAATAAATGGGAACGCGTAAGTTTGGCCGGCTGGGAAAGAGAACTGGTTCATTTACGAAATTACCCCCACCGAAAATGAAGGGGAGAGCAGGAAATTTAAATCCCTGAAAAATTGTCAAAAGTGTGCAATATATTAATGGTGGATTTTGCACAAATATACCCCTCTAAGTATTACGCAATGTAACAAATGTATCCTTTTATCACGATTTCCATTAGTTAACCATTAGTTGACCGTTAAAGAACATGCTAATGACTACATTGCCCTTTTACCTTAATTATTATAAAATATATTTACAGCAGAAAATGGAATTAATTAAATAAAATTTAATTATTGTTTTTAATTATCTTCCCCTCTCGCATTGATCTTTACGAAGCTGTCTTCCCTACCACAACTACATTTTCACAATTTGACTGGCGATGGCCACAACTCTACTCGAATCAAATTGAGATCATTCCAAATATTGTTGTTAGGTTTCGGGTTTAGAACCACCATGGAAGAATCAGGCGGCGGTGCAGGTTTAGACTCGTCCAAAGATTCAAAATTGAGGGATGTTCTTAGGAATTTGGAGAAGGAAGCAAATTTGGAGGAATAGCTGGCGGGGAGAGTTTCGATGGAATGGGAAGAGAAGGTGGATGATGCCGGGCGGTTTTGATAGCAGATTTGAATCGACAAGTTCGATAGAGTAGTTGAAGCATCGTCTTCCTTTTAACGGTCGAGAATCGGTTGTTTTAGGGATTAATTTGGATCAAGAAGCGGTGGCGACGGAGGTTTGGTTTTGTTTCTAGATTTGTTGCCGGCGGAGGGAGGTTGCCTCAGGGGTGGCACCGTGGCAGTGGAGGTAGAGTATGAGCGGGATGCAACTTCTTTGGAGGTGGCACTACAAAAAAGACTCTCACTAGTGACCAGTGGTTTCTGTCAATAAAAGCTATATTTCGTCGCAAATGGTCTTTTGCGACGCCATGAGGTCGTCGCGTTCCGTTCCAAATACAAGCGTCACAAAATTTTTTTTGCGTGACGAGCTGTCGTAAAATCTTTAATGTGACGGTAGTCTAAATCAATTCCATAAGGTGACGACGACGTGGGAAATTTGGGAAGGGAAGCAGTAGCGGCCGAGTTATTACTCTACAAGATTTCCCAATTAGTTTCCCTTCTCTATCTAGTGTGTTATGTACGTATGTTGCGGTGAGAATTTTTTTTTTGAAGGAATGGATAGTGGACAAAATAATTTAATTCTTTTTTATTTAACTACTTAATAATTGACAATAAAAGGACAATATTGTCAGTTTGCAAGTCTTTTAATGGTCAACTAACAAAGTTAGTAGTGAAAAGTTATATTTATTACGTCACAAAATAGATGAGTATGTTTGTGCAAAATAATAAAAGAAGGGCACGTTTGTTAACTTGTAATAGTAGAGGGATATAGAATGCTATTCGCCCTAAATCAAATCAAGAATTACATAGTCAAAGAACCTCTAGTGTTCATAAACCTATGCAACTAGGGCTCTAGGAAGCCATAGGGATGAGTCTTTGCGGGAACATCAGTCAAAATAATATCCACAGAAAACCCTCCAAATCGGCGGCTCATCTGCCTTTCTGGAAGGACATGCCCTTTGAGTTCCACTTCACTCTGAATTGGGTGAGTCACTATGTCAACAAAGAATTAACCATCTAATGCATTATACCACTGGCTACCGATCTTCTACCCCTAGGGGTCTATTTACAGGCTTCTTCATTAGTGTTTATGAGAGGAAAAGTCAGCCTAAACGCGTCTTCCAAATTCCTTCGACTCTCCTCCAGCATGGCCAACCCATATGGAATATTCTGGGGGAATATGGGCTCAATATGGATGCCCTCCAAGTCAGCAACAAAGGCACCATTTTGGGATATGGTTGAAAGTTTTTGGTTTCGTTTTATGAACTTTCTCCAATCTCTATTATCGCACCCAACAATCGAGTCTTGATGTTCCCCAACAGGTACAAGATGGTCCAATAAGATGCTCTGCCCGAAAACACACGCAACACTACCGAAAGTGCATTAAAATAGTAAAAGGGTTCCAAGAGTTACTAAAATACACCTCTATTGATTATTAAGAAAATCCAAGCGATTATGGCAATAAAGATGTGAAAACAATGTAATTCTGGCCATAATATGGGGGGGTCTAAAATGGTACTTTCTACGTGTAATCACATAACCCCACACTTGAACTTTGCTTGTGCCCAAGAAAACCTTACTCATAATCGTACAACTCACTAGACCTCTACGAGGACACGTGACTTTTGAATCATAGTTAGTGGATCATAAGCAACTTATAAGGTCAAATCTCGTACTTTGAGAACCAGTCCACATCATTGAGGCATATATCTCATAAGGACAAATTTGCTAATATCTATCATTCGTAAGCTCCTAACTCAACTCGAGAGTCTTAGAATGGCGGAGATATGGATTGTGATGGCAGTGGCGGCTGTGGAGATTAGAAGGAAGAGAAAGGATGAGTGGAGGAAGGAGACGTCTCTGTTTCTCAATGGGCAGCAAAACATTTTTTTGTCTATTTTATTTTTTTGGTCTATTTTAATTTGGGTTAATTGCATGGTTTATCACTGAGATTACAAAAAACGTTTAAGTTTGGTCACTCGAAATATTTAAATTTATTGATAGTACTTTAATTTAACGTTTGGTCACTCTCCGTCCAACTCCGTTAAATTTGGCTAATGTGACAGTCAGCTCTCAAAGTTGACCGTTAACTTAGTGACGTGACAATTAAGAAATAATAAATAAAATTTATTTTATTTTATTTTAATGTCCAACTCATTTTTACCATAACATAAATAAATAAAATAAAAATTATTATAATTATGCAAATCATATTCTCTTCTTCATCCCGTCAAAATATAATAATTTTATTTATTTTGCAAATCCCGTCAAGGCGGTCTTCCATGTCTTCTGTCTTGGCAGTTTCAGCAGCGAGGCAAGTTCAAGGCGGTCTTCCATGTCGTCAAGATCATAATCAGCCACATCTTCAAACAGGTGCAGGTTCACCTTCTTCAGTACAGCTCCAGCCTTGAGCAAATACGCCACCATTTTCCTCTCATCTGCTTTGAGATTTTGTATCTCAATTCTCGGCGAGGGGCATCATGACGACGATACTCGACTTCATCATCATCAACCCAGGTTTCCTCATAAACAAGAGTATCAACCCATGACGAGTGAACGCATGACAATGGACTACTACTACTACCCATAAACTGTAACACACCAAAATTCAGAAGATAAAGATGCTCAAGATTTGGTGCTTCCATTCCAATGGTGAGAATAATTGAAAAGAGACTGATTTGTGGAATGATTTTCTAATTCCTTTGGCTGCAAGGTTGCAGAAATATGTACAGAGAATTCTGAGCTACAGGACAAAACTAACTCTAACTGCATTGTCCATCTAAAACGAGACAAGTGGCAATCTATCACTAGCTACAGTTATAAACAATTAATCTATACACATAGAACTAAACGCTGCCATTTCTATCTTCTTCTGTCTTCCCTTCCTATGATAAAACGTTGTGTTTGCACTCTTCCCTCCTTCTCCATTCGACCGTTGTAGAACAGGGGCTTCAGACTCATCATCTTCTTCTTCCTTCTCTTCAACTCTGCTCATGGAGTTTGAAAGCCCCCCACAAGCTGGCGAGTATATGTCATATACTCCCAGCTTGAACATAATCCATCTGAATCGTTGTGCACTGAGTCCCTTGGTGAAGACATCTGCCAGATTCCTGTCAGTGCAGACATATTTCAAGGTAATCAACCCTGATTTAACCCTTTCTCTTATTATATGGCAATCGATTTCTATATGCTTCGTCCTTTCGTGGAACACCGGGTTCTCCGCCATATGAATCGCTGACTTGTTGTCGCAGTATGCCATTGCTGGTAGTTTGTGTTCAATTCTGAGATCATTCAAGACTTGTGTAACCCATTGTATTTCACATGACATCTGCGACAATGCCCTGTACTCTGCCTCTGAGGAAGATTTTGAGACAATTGCTTGTTTCTTTGCCTTCCAAGTGATCAGTGAGTTTCCCAAAAACGCACAGTACCCAGTAATCTATCTTCTTGTGTCAGGGCATGCCCCCCAGTCTGAATCACTATAGCCTGTTAGTGTGAATTCTGAATTTGATGCAAAGAACAATCCCTGACCTGGGGAACCTTTAAGGTAGCGTAGGATTCTGTGAGCTGCTTTCATGTGAGAGATCTTTGGTTGTGCTTGAAACTGACATAGTTGCTGAACAGCAAAGGCTATGTCAGGTCTGGTTGTTGTGAGATACCCCAATCTTCCAATCAATGACTTGTATTCTCGTGGATCCACATATGATTCATCATCATATTGAGTTAATCTAGTCTTCATGTCTGATGGAGTCTTGCATGGTTTTGCATTGAGAAATTCTGTATCCTTCAACAGGTCTAAGCAATATTTCCTTTGAGTAATGGAAATCCCACTACTGCTTCTGGCTACTTCTAGTCCAAGGAAGTATTTCAACTTCCCCAAATCTCTCACTTTGAATTGCTTTGATAAGAAAGCCTTGGCCTCCTGAATTACTTCCTCATTGTCTCCTGAGAAGATTAGATAATCTACATATACCAAGATCACTGCAATTCCTTTATCATTCTTCTTTGTGAACAATGAGTAATCTGAATATGATTGTATAAAACCAAAACTTACTAAGGCTTCAGTCAGCTTGGCATACCATTGCATGTTGGCCTGTTTAAGTCCATAGAGTGACTTCCTTAGTCTGCAAGCCTTCCCTTCCATTCCTTCAATACCAGGTGGTATCTTCATGTACACTTCTTCCTCCAAATCACCATTTAAGAAGGCATTGCTGATATCCATTTGGCTTAAGTGCCAATTCTTAACAGATGCTACAACCATTAGGATCTTGATTGTATTAATCTTTGCTACTGGAGAAAAGGTGTCCAGGAAGTCAATTCCT